TTTGGTTCTTCTGTGCTTTAGTATATCTTTGTGACGGGTGTCGTACACATTATAGATGACTTTTAGCAATATTAACCATTCTGAGATCTTATTTCAGGAGTGTGTTTACCATGTTAAATACAGTACAGGTATTTTCAATTTTTAAATTGTGACTTTTGTATTCCTGTTTTTTATATAGTGAGAGATATTAGGAGAAATATTATTAAATACATACTACAGATATGGTAACTAAGTCTCAGAGATTCAGTTTGTTCAAAGTTACATAGATAAAAGGTAGAAGTCTGTAGATCTTTTGTTCTCTTGTGAAAAGCTGGAGAAAATTTCCAAAAACTTGGATCCATCCATAGTTTTGTAAAATGCAAAACAGTTGTAAACATACTTCATATTATTTTTCCTTAAATATGATTTCTGTAGATGACTACTCAGAGGTTAATTCTAATTACATGATAGAAACGTGTTTTCCGTGTTACTTATTTGAAAATATCATTAGCATACATAAAATGAGTCTTATATATCTAAATTTATTTTACATGTTTACCCACACGAAAAAAAACCCATTTTTTTCCTTATGTATCTTTTGTGTTCAAGACAGACTTTTTTTTTTTTTTTTTTTGATACCGGGGATTAAACTTGGGCCCTTGTACTTGTGAGTCAGGCGGCAGAATGAATAAGGATTTAAAAATGTGTTTGGCTATAAATTGTTATACATTAAAGTAGATATACAGAGCTAAAACTTTGGTCTAAGGCCCAATAAACCCAATGGAATGACTGAGAAATATGAGAAAAGTGGCAGGTGAAAGTGGTTAGTATAGAAAGACAGCTATGAAAGTGATGATAGAGTGTGGGCCATTTTTCAGGAGCAGTGAAGCCAAAGAAGAAATTCTTGCTTACTTGCTGGTTCTTCTTTCAGTTTGCATAATTCCAGTATTTTGGGTTACAAATTAGAAATATCTTGACAGGGGAGCTCAGAAATCATGCCTAAAGTTTTGTGTAGGTGCTTTAAAACTCTGCAAATGTTTGCCCTGTATAGTATAGTCTGTAAAAATAGAATTGAAATTTTGCTTTATTCCAAATAAATGAACTGCTGTGCTTTGCCCTGATTGTACTGAATGAGGTTGATAAATTTGATAGCCTCTTGGGGATTTATTATCTTGGTAATTATCTACTTTGAGTACAGGTTTTCTCTAGTTTGAAAGAATTTGTTTTAAAAGAAACATTACTTTGTAAAGAAAGTGGTGCATAGCCCATTGACAAAATAGATCGACTGTGCTTATTGTTTTATAACTTTTTCTTTGACTAACAACATTTTGCTCACTGCTGCCTTTACAGAAAGGTGACAATATTGGTGACAGTAACTGCTTCCAAGGATAAAATTATTTTTCCTTTTAAGTTTATGATTTCATATGTTAAAAATTCATATCTAAACATAAGTGAAGATGATTGTTTGCCAATCACATTTTATATTAAAAACGATTGAGGTCCTTTGCTTTTGTATGTAATAAGTTACTTTAAAATTTCTTCTTTAGCATCATAGATGATTTTCAGATTTTATTAAACTTCACTTGTTATAAAACTTAAGGCCCTGGGAATTTAGCTCAGTTGCACCACTCCTGCCTTGCAACTGCAAGGTCCTGAGTTCCATCCCTGTTACTGCAAAAAGAAAAAAACAAACAAACAAAAAACCACACACACAAATTTGAATAGCATAAGGATAGCAGTGCTTAAGAATTTTTTGTAACAGTTTATGTAAGTCATAGTTGTAAACCCAATTTTTAGTTTTCTTCCTGGTAGCTATTGTAATTATGATTTATATTGAGTAATGGTAATGTGTGAAAAAAATACAAGTAACTATTGATTTATAATGACATCTAGTGAATTAATGTTAGTAATTAAAAATTATTTGCTAGCTGTATATGGTTCTTTTTCTTTGTTATGGGTGATTTGTTTAACTGAATATGTATTTATTTGTATTGTTATTTTATTTTACTTTGGATATGTTTTGATTATAAAAGATTATTCTCCAGTTTAGACTGCCTGCTTCGTATATAACTAGTTCAAGTAATAACCTGATATTACATTGTGTGCATAGAGACTTACTTTTGTGGTGAAGTCTTTTTTTTGATAGATGATCATCACTGATACATGGCACTATAGGTGGGTATTTGAATGTCATCACTTTTACTGGAAGTTTCTGTGCCCCTTACAATTTGGCACTAATACTGTACTTTTAATTTTTTGTTTTAAATAATTTTTTAAACTTTTATTAGTATGTGTTTGCAGTATATAATGATTACATTAACTTTAGGGAATTGGTATATGTACATAACACATTTCAATTCTCTTGTTTCCTTTCCTTCCACCTCCCTTTTATTTTTCCAGAATCAGATTCATTTATTTATCTTATAAGGCTTTATAAAATTAAGTATCATATATATAGATTAAAACCAGACTAATAGGCCAAAGAACACATGAAGAATCTTAGACAGTTGTACTAAGTCAAGGTACACTTTTAGATACATTGTCAGCATTGAATTACATTTTTTCCTTTCTTTTTCTTATTATTTATCTTTAATTTGTATATATATATATTACATTTTTAATATAAGGGAAACCATGCAATATTTAAGCATGTATATCTGAGTTACTTCGTTTAACATTATGGCCTCAAGGTACATCCATTTTCCTACGAATGACTCAAGTTTATCCTTTTTTATGCCAGTGTAGTACTGTATTATGTGAAAATACCACATTTTCTTGATCCATTCATCTATTGATGGACAAATAAACTTTCGAAGATTTAGCAATTATGCACTGCACTGCTCTCTCTCTCTCTCTCTCTCTCTCTCTGTATGTGTGTGTGTGTGTGTGTGTATATATATATATATATATATATCACTGTGTTATGATGTCTACCTCTTTTGGGAAGATACCTAGAAGGGGAATAGCTGGGTCAAATGGAACTTTCAGTTTTAATTAATTAATTAATTTATTTTTGCTACCAGGGATTGAACTTGGGTCCTTGTGCTTGTGAGGCAGGCGGTGACACCACTGAGCTAAATCCCCAGCCCAGATTTAGTTTTTTGAGGAATCTCCATACTGTTTTCCATAGTGTATACCAATATACATTCCCACCAGCAATGGAAAAGGGTTCTTTATCACCACAGTCTTGATAAAATTTTTTTTGGTTGATTTCTTTATGGTAGCCACAAAGAAAAATTTTAAAGTATATTTGGCTGTAAGTTGAAAAGCAGTAGAATGTATATAAAGTGCTAAAACTTTGTTCTAGAGCTCAGATCATCTTTCTTTTTTAAATACAGAGACCGGATTTCTTTAAATAGCTAAATACCCCAGGGTGGCTTGTACTTGGAATCGTCCTATCTCAGCGTCCCAGAGTGCTGGGATTATAGGCTTGCTTATGCCACCACACCTGGATTGAAGGTTATTTGATGTAATGGTAGTGTCTTTTCAGAAGAAAGGAAATTGGATTATATGAAATTCGTATGTGTCTAGCACCATTTTGAAAAAAGAAAGTGATTTAGAATTTCTGACTCTTTTTGGAGAAGTGTTTTTTATGTAAGGTGTCAGTACTACACCATGGTTTTAAATAGTCTGAGTAAACTTACTTCTCAGAACTTTTCATTTGTCCTTTATTAGATTTTATGTTTGTCAGTACTTTGTGTCTACTAATACAGATTTTGGGTACCTTAATGTTGACAAACAATTCTTCAGGGTAATGTGACATGACTTACTAGTGAGTTTGATTGGTTTGCCAGGCACTAAGAACTCTTCATTGCTGAGTTTATAGGTAATACTAAATATCAGCATTTTAATGATGACAATTTGATCTTACTAAGATGTTGGTGGTGAAGTCCTACCTGAAATTCTGATTGGTTCTGAACCTTTGACATATAATCTACCCTTTATAAGCTCAAAATCAAATCTTTTTTGGTTTCATAAAAAATTTAGGAAAATCTGGAAGCCCTGTAACTTTAAATATAATTTACAATTCCTCACGTAAATATTTGAGTTCATAAGAAAACTTCTTGTTTTTTAAATAATTGGAATGTAGTTGAAGTGTACTAAAAAATGTAAAGATCTGTGTAGAATTATCTGTATGTTCATGTGAGTAAAGATTTTTATCATATAATCTGCATGAATAATTTAACTTCTTTCTGAATATCTAAGTTTAGTGAATTAGAAGAAGGAAAAGATGTCTTGTTTTTATTCATTTCAGTTTTGGATAAATTTTCATAGAAGACAAAAGAATTATAAATTTTTAAATAGACAATGTCTCATATAGTTACTAAAGAGCTCATATATAGGAAGGTTTGAGAATGAAAATTAACTGTAATCTGAACTTTTCACATTGTTCTATAGCTTTGATTTTGTGCGCATATGTTTCCTTTTTTTGGTACTGGGAGTTAGACTCAGGATCTTACACTTGCTAGCCAGGCATGGTACCACTGAGCTAAATCCTCAGCCCACATATATGTTTCTGTAGTCTTTTCCTTTTAATGATATTTTACATTTCTGGTTATGAGTTTGTATTATTGATCTACTTCTTACAAAATTATATCAAAGGCATTTCGTGTGTTTTTTGAATGAATTTCATCTTGTTTATATTCTTGTACTTTTTAAAGAGATAACTACATATTTAGTAATCAGTAGTTTATTAATATAGTTTTTTAATAATTCATTTTTAATTTTAAAATGTTTTAAATTTTAAAAATTTCCCTATGTTTTAATTCTTTTCCTGTATGCCTAAAACTATTGAAAAATATCATTTATTTCATCTTTTTTTACTATGTTAGGTAAAAATATTTTTGTAAAATGATTTTACTTCTGTGTTTTAATATCAATCTTATAAATCTTTGCCTTTTCAGAAATTTTCTCTTCATCCCACCCCTTTTATTTCTGGGCGAGGGGTATTTTGTAAATACTAATATAAAAAAGAAAACATTTAAAAATAAGTATTTCCTTTTTTTGTTTTTTGTTTATAGGTTGTTATGGAGTTGATGGAGAGAGTGACTCTATTATGAGTTCAGCTTCTGAAAACTCCACTGAACCTTGGTTTTGTGATGCTTGTAAATGTGGTGTTTCTCCCAGCTGTGAACTGTGTCCTAACCAGGATGGAATTTTCAAGGAGACAGATGCTGGAAGGTTGATGTCCTGATTATATTGTATTCATATGCTGCTTTATGACATTTCTGCTTTTGACTCCTGTTCTTCTATTTATGATTTTCTGAGATAAAAACTTCATTTGATTGCTTTTTTTGTATCTTCTTGGCGTGAAACAAATGCCATTAGGCTACAAATGAGAGCAGGAAGGAAGACAATCAATCATTTATTGTGTCTGACTGAAGAACAGGAAAGCTTCTTTAACCACTGAGATATACTGGGAAATATTTTTATTAACTGTGGTGGCTAGTACACATATAGACACCTCCCTTGATATACAGCTGGGCAAGAAATCTGTTATTTACTGTTTGAACACTTTGTGTTGATGTTTTTATAGTCACAAAAAATATGGAAATTATAGGCTTTTGTACAATTTTGCTGGATACAATATCAACTTGATTCAAGACATAAAACATCAAGAAAATTTGACAAGCCTTTAGTATTCTACCTTTAAATGGAAAGTAGGAGAAAGGAAAGAATAATACATGGAAAGAATGAAAAGCTTAGTTTTTGAAAATTGACTTCTATCAGTAAGCTTAATTGGAATTTTTTCTCTTTTTTTTTTTTGAGACAAGTTCTTACTATGTAGTTGAGACTGACCTGGAACTCACTATGTAGTCCAGGCTGGTCTTGAACTCAACTGTGATCCTCCTGCCTCAGCCTCCTGAGTGCTGGTATTATAGGCGTGTGCCACCATGCTAGGCTCTCTTCTATTGTTGATGTGAGCTACAAGTTCTACATAGAAAATGTTGTGATGTAATGTGAGAAAACTATAAAACATTCTTATGATTACATTTGTATTTCATATCTTAGGGAGACTATTTTACCTCATCGTTATTTTTTTTTGTAACGGGAATCGAATTTGGAACCTTGCTCTTGAAAGGCAGGCTGTGGAACTACTGAGCTAAATAAATCCCCAACCCTATTTTACCCCATTTTAAGTGATCTTATACATCTGATCATTGGAAATATTAGGCATACCTTCCTTTTGTCTTTGTTGGTTGTCCTCTACCATATTGTGAAATAAAGAAAGCTCTAAGCTAAATTCCTTGATTTTTCAAAGTAAGCATTATAAGTGCAGTAGAAGGCATGTTTTAATTCATTTCAGTCACAGTTATCATTAGCCATGTTATATTTTGTAATTATTAATGTGAGCCCATTTATTGATATGCAACGTGAGAAAAAGTAAATTTCCCACTCAGAAAACTTTAGGCTTTTATTCAAGGGGTAAAGACAGCAGATTAGATACATACATCTTTGTAACTTCTTCCTTTTTAGTGCTTCCTGCCTGTTAGATACTTAGGTATTGTTTATGAGGTGAAGTAATGAAAATAACATACTGGAAATGAATGTGTATTATAAAGGAACTGTAAATATAAAGCATTTTATAATCACTTGATTTATTAATATAGTTTCTAGTCTGAAATTAATCTTTTGAGAAATACATTTGTATTTGGTCTACCTTATTAACATGTATGCATTTAAAAGAATCTATAAATAGCTTCCATGATGGAATGACAATTTTAACTGTTCTGTGGTGGTTTTATGTGATGTTTATTTTTCTGCTCCTTCCCCAATCAACATCTGTCATCATAGCTCCAAGCAAAATGGATGGTAAAGTAACAAGGAAGATTTTTTTTGGTTTTCATTTCCTGATTTGTCTTAATTACAAATTCTAAAATATGTGTTAGTGAACACATAAAAAAGTATAGTGATATTAAAAGTGACCAAAATTGTCTTAGCAGTTTCCACTTACTTTGATATGTATTTTAGTAAGGATTCAAGTTGGTAGCCTCACATGAGTGGTTGGATGAAACGATATACTTGTATGCCAGTCACACTGAAATAGCAGTTTAAATCTCTAGTACTCGTATGACTTGTTCTAAAAGATTTTTAAGGAGGTCAGTATGAAGCAAGCAGCCAGCTGTTGGATTTATCAAAAATAAACTCCTACAGAGTACAGCGACATTTAATACACCAGTGGAGCATGAAAAAACTGTACAAATTAAATTGAGAAAGCAGCTGCTTGTTGAAGATGTGTATCTTTATATTGAACTCCACAGGATGTATTTGAAGATTGGATTAAAATGTTCAATCAAGAAAATCTCAAAACTTTGGATTTTTGTCCCTATAAAAAGATAATATTTTTAAAGATTTGTAGCTGTTTTCCTTAGTGCCTTTATACAGTGATTCTTCATCCTTTAAAGTTTTATATCATAGAACCAGAACCATGTATTCTTTACAGCCTCTCATCTGAGTTAAAGCAGAATTTATTATTAATATATTCAAAAAGTCAATAGAGACATGCTATCTAATTTTTACCTCTTTTTGTAGAAGTGATAGATCTATTTAAATTTCAAGGACAGTGATTCAACATCAGTTGTAAGCAAACGGAAAGAGTGCCTAACATATTAAAAGTGATCAGCTTAATTTAAAAAACATGAAATCAGAACCTACTCTTAATTTTTTTTAAGACTACTGAAATGGAACGTTCTTTGGTTAGTGTTACAGCATTGTTCAGACTTTAGAAATATAATTCTGTGTGGGGCATATAAATTTTAGTACATGTGTTGTTTGGTGAACAGATGAGAGGAATGAAAATGTGACTTCTTTCTATTATTATGTTTGATTTGTATCTTCCTCCTGTGATCAGCTTTGAACCTGGGAAGAGAGTTAAATTGCACATCAAAACATATTTTAAAATATATCGTGACAGCCTTTGGAAGAATAACAATAAAGAACAGTTTTATCTAATTACTACAGAGTAATCTCACAGTTCTTAAATTAGAATCCTTAATTCTTAAATTAGTTCTCTGAGTGCTTAGAGCAATGACTGAATATTTTTCCTATGCATATGAAAATGTTTTGTTTCACTAGAATAGTTTTGTGCAAATGTTTGAGGATAACAGATGAGACCACAGTGCTGTGAATTTTAGTATATGTGCTGCCAAAGTGAGCACTTGTGTAGTGAATTTTAGTGAAAGGCAATTATGGTTAAATCTGAGTTTTGGGTAAGCTACTGAAAAAGTAATGCTTAATGCAGTCATGTTTTCTGTAACTAACTGCTGTCATTGTATTGATGTTCTGTTTTCTTCATTTACGTGACTGAGATTAACATTTGATCAAAGAATTCTTTCAGTAGTATTTTAAAGTGGCATGTATTTTATGTTTGTTTTCAATGTGAGAATTTCATGAAAGCATCTGATAGGAAAATTGTATTTTCTGTCCTTGTAGATGGGTTCACATTGTCTGTGCCCTCTATGTACCTGGAGTAGCCTTTGGAGATATTGACAAATTACGACCAGTTACACTAACAGAAATGAACTATTCCAAATATGGTGCCAAGGTGAGACAAAGTGATTTTAATTGTCTGAAAGAAAATTTTTGCCTGTTAGTTTATATGTTTTTATTTATACCATTGGTGTGTTTAGAAGTACTAACTAGTTTTCTATTTGCTTAGCCCTTTATTGCTATTTATTAATGATGTATTTTCCTAAAAATCTAATAATGTATAAATTCTCTTATATATTCTTAATGCAGAATAGTCTATGGGGTAAAATTTAAATTTAAATTGTGACAGCAATACTACTGCTATTTTTCTGGCACAAGATACTCTAAGATATTGTTCAATATTATTTATAATCAATTGGATCAAATATATTCCTAGTTTCTGACTTGACTTTTGAAGTGGAATTTATCAAAATTATAAAAAATATAAGAAGCACTTTATATTTTGCGTAGTTTTCAAACACCTATTTTTATGATTAAGTTAACTTCTGCCTAGATTCTCAGCTTTGCGTTTATAAATTGTATTTGATTATCAAACTACAGGTTGATAAATGATTAAAAATGCTTTCTCATTAAATGTAAATATAATTATTATAAACAAGGAAGGGACAAAGAAAAAGTGAGAATAGAAAAAAAAATGGAAACAAAGCTTTTTGTACATAGGGAAGGGGGATTGAGGGGTGGAATGGGATAAAATAAAATAAAGTTTATTTAAAAAATATATATTACTGTAAACATCCTTGGAAACCTGGACCTAATTAGGTACCCATATAGTCTACTACTATCTACAGGGATGTTGGGAAGGAAGACTCTTGAGTAGCATCAGTAACATAGAAATTAGGGTAAGGAACTTAGTCCTTTCAGGCTGCTGTAACCAAGTATCTTAGACTGGGTAATTTGTAAATAAAAATTTCTCATTGTTCTTTATTTAATTAATTATATTGTTACATTTAAGGTTTACAAAGTAATGGCATTCATCATTGGAAATTTCACCTTTACATAATCCATCTTGGTTCTTATTTCTTCCCCCTTCCCCTGCCCTCCCTTAAACCCCTCCATCCCTCCCTATCTACAAAGACTTTGTTTCCACATTTTCTTCTTCTCATGTTAATTCCGTTCCCATCTTTCTTTTCCTGTGCTCCTCTCATTTCCCCTTCCCTTGTGCACCGTTTCTTCCTATTTCACATTATCTGTTATACCTTTTAGTCCTTATGTACACTTTTGGTTTCTTACACTAGAAAACTATTTGATATTTACACATGTGGGTCCTATTTATTTCACTTAAGAGTCTCTCATAGTTCTTAAGGCTGAGAAATCCAAGATCAAAGTGCTGGCAGATTAGGCTTGCTCTCTGTCTCAGAGATGGTACCTTGTCACCTTTTCCTCATGTGGCTGAAAGGGACAGTTTCTTTTATAAGGGTGCTAATTCACTTCATGTGGGAAGAGCCCTCATGACCTAAAAACTTCTCAGAAAAGCTTCTTAGTGTTACCACATTGTGTATTAGCTTCCTACATAAGAATTTTGAGGGGGCAGCAACCATCAGATCATAGCAGGAACTTTTATTATACTTTGGAATATTCTAATAGTGAAATTTAAAAATTTGAAAGCTTCTTATATTATACCTGGAGAATCCTCTTTGAACTCTGACCCCTGCTTACAATCCTGTCCCCTTACCCTTGGCCTGTGTTTCTTTCCCAGTACCGTGCTTCAGTTTTGGTAATTGGGATAATATAATAATTTCAGCTGCCCTCTCCAGAATTTATTAAAGCCTCAGACTCTTAACTTACTTTCCTGGTCCTTAGGTAACTCTACACTGTCATGTTACCTCTTTGATGCTTTTAAGTAGTAGTTAAAAACAACAAAATAATTTTTTTTGTCCAGATTTTTCTAGTTAGTTAGATTGCAGTATCTAGTTTACCGCAAATGGAAGTTACTACTTTTTATGATAGCAGCTTCATAATAACAAGCACAGAGCTTATAAGAGACTAATTTAAGTAATTATCAGTAGGGACACATTTTACTATAAATATAAATCTACAAGCAATTAAAAATCTCAAGTAATATTAAAGGTAATTTCTCATTTGACAGTATTTTCCATGCAAATAAAACATTTTAAATAAGCCTAATTTGTTTTATATCTCTCTGTTTATAAGGAAAGAAAAATTCTTTTGGAATAATTGAGAGGCCTTTTTGGACATTCCAGAGTTAGTTCAAGATGAAAGTCACTTAAATTAGATTTGATTTTGGGAAATGGTCAAAATGTCAAAAGGTTTAAAACACTTTTTAAAATAGGATCGCAGGTCACTCTGAAGCAATATTTAATTATACAAAGTGACAACTAAAACATTTTATGGGGCAGATACAGAAAGTTAGGTAAATATCGAAAAACCTTAGTTCTTTTAATGGAGAGGACTCAATTTTCTTAAGTAACCAAAGACCTGTTAAAAGATAGTATGATGCACAGGAACTTGTTTTGTAGGATTCACAATCCTTTTTTCCTAGGCAGATTTCCTAAAACAAAACAAAACAAAACCTTTCAGTTTCTTACTAAGTGGTGATTGGTACTCCCAAGAAAACCTGATTTCTTTAATAGAGACAACCAAATTCAGGTTTTGTCATTGTACTTTTGAAACTATTTTGATATTAATGTTCAGTTTAAAAAACTTGTCAGTAATTCCCTTCAGATCTTAGTCAGCTTGATCCTTGTCTTCTAAAAACTTTGTGCAGTTTTCTTATATCCATCAATCTTTGTCCTGTGTGTGTGTGTGTGTTCTTTTTTTTAAATCTGTTTCATTGTGTGGTAGTCATTCTACTTTAGAAGGAAAATTAATTTTCCTAACAAAACATACTCTTACAAAAATATATCCTTCATACCTCATGGCTTTACTTACCTGGAATGTTGTTTCTCCTACTATGTCTAGTTTTCATTGTCATAGATTAATTTAGAATTCATAACTTTCCATAGCTTTATTTCTGGTGAAAATAGGAATTAAGTAATTGTGAACTACCTGGCATGTACCAACATTCAGTAGCTTAAAAGTACTTTATAATAACTAAAATGTGCTATCGCATAGTGAAGTTTTTTCACTAGTAACATAGTATACATTTACTATCAGATCCAACTATATTTTCTTTGTAATAAGAGGTCCCAAGTGGGGTTATGTTTTACTCCCATTTTCTCAGTTCCTTAGTTTACTGGCATTTTAAATATTTCAGGCAATTGTGGAATATTCTACTTACTTTGATAGATCATTCCATGGCCTAATAAGACTTCATTTTCTCCCAAGTTTTCCTTGTATACATTGTGAAATCCCTTGCTCAATTTCATTTTATATTAAATAAATCACTTAGAGGATTATCCTAAGCAATTTGGATAGAAGACTCCTTAGATTTACAAGAATGCATTTTCAAAAAGAATTTAATTTGTTTTCTGCATTCTCCTTCCCTTTCTTTTACCTTCTGTCTCTGTTTCTTTTGGTGTGTGGTTAAATTGCTGTTTGCTAGTATTTTACATCATAGGTGATTACTTTTATAGGAAAAAAGATAATAGAATGTCAAAATTTCAAAAAATATTTGCAACTATTCCCTGACTAATTCTCATGTTTCATTCATTGTTGATGTCTGATCTACCCGGGGGTAGTCAGTAACTATTGTAGTATTAAAGTAGAGTTTTTGGTGTCTAATGAAACTAAACTTTTTTATTTTTCCCTTTACATACTTCTCTCATATTTAGTTTACTTAGAATGTATATACTAAACACTTCATTAATTGTCCATTGACATTCTTTCACATTTTAGCAGGTTTGTCTTTTATGAAGATTTTTATTACTAAAGAGGATTGTATTTTAGGATTAGGGTTTCCTTTTTTTATTAAGAATGGGAGGTTTTAGATAATTTAGTGGCATATACTTTTCATTGTAAAATTTATCCCTTTTTAAGATAGAAAGCATATAAATAATTTGCTATGTTATATATCATTATCAGTTTTGCCAAATTATCAAAATTCCTATTGTTCTTTACAGAGTATTTTTAAAAATTATGATATTTTTACATTGCAGATTTTTTAGCACATAGTTTCTTATTTTCATTTTTCAAGTAATATACTATTAAAAATTTAGTATATAATAAGCTATACTGCCCTCCTGGTGTGAAGCGTAATTTTTTTTTTTTGTTATTGTGAGCAAGTGCCTTAACCCATATCCATCCCAATTATCTCATATGTAAAATGGGAATAATTCTCACTCACTTCTTCAACGTACTTGTGTTAAGTGATTACATATATTAATATGTGTGAAATAATTTGAATAGTACTGGCACATACTAAGTCTTCAAATAATATTTATTTGTTCTGACTTGCATTAGTTGAATTTTTATTCATTAGAACGATATAAAGAATTACCTTTTTCTTATAAACTCTTGGCTTGCCTACAATTGTTGCTTGTATTGGTACCCTGTTGGTTCCCTATGATGTAGTATTTCTTTAGATTTTAAATACTTAGCAATTTGTTTATATGAACATGCAGACTTTTTCCTCTGAGAATCTTCCTGTTGTATTATAGGAATGTAGTTTTTGTGAAGACCCTCGGTTTGCACGAACTGGAGTTTGCATTAGCTGTGATGCAGGGATGTGCAGAGCCTATTTTCATGTGACCTGTGCCCAGAAAGAAGGTTTGCTTTCAGAGGCAGCGGCAGAAGAGGTAGGTTGATTTAACCTATAGTCGGTGAATATGTTTATAAGACTTCTCATAGCTGTCATGTCTGATTATAGGTATAAAGCAAATAAGAAAATTTAAAATTTATTCTTAAAGTATTTGCATAGATTATTGATCTGAAACTTTAAGAGTAAATATCTATGAGTTTTGACAGTCTTACAGCACGTCAGACCTTCAGAAAAATACTATAATTTTTATAATGAGATCTGATGAAACGAAACATTTCCAAGATATTTTAAGCATTAAACTGTCAGTATATTTTGTATGAGAATCTGAAATTGTTGAGTAACCAAATAACATTATTATACTATTGTATTGGTCAGCTTTTCTATTGCTGGACAAAATACCTGACACCTACAACTTAAAGATCTAATTTGTCTAATGGTATCAGAGGATTCAGCTATGGTTGAGCTGCTTGAAGGCAGAAACATCATGATGGAGTGGTGTGGTTGGGCAAAGCTGCTTAGTCCATGATGGCTGGAAGCAGAGAAGGGGAACAGTGTTGGAGAGGAAGGGTCCTGGGACCAGATGCAGTACCCGAGGTCACACCTTCATGACCAACTCAGACACGCCCAGAAGTGTGCTGAGTTAATTCCCTAGGTGGCTCCCAAGCCATTCAAGTTGACAGTTAAGTTTAAATGGAACACCTATCTTCAGTATCTGTGTTACCGTCTCTTTTCTATTATATTTAATTCCATAGTATTCTTTCCATATTTGTTAATTTTTAGGTTAAGCAGTTACATATTTCAGAATGTGTTTTGGGGACCTGTTAAGATTATTTTACAACTATTTGTGTAACAATATACAAACATTATTTACTTTTTTTTCTAACTGGTACCAGGGATCAAACTCTGGCACTTGGCGCTTGCGGGGCAGGTGGTGGAACCACTTTGCCAAATCCCTGGCCCCTATTTACTTTTTAAAACTGTATTCTTATGAGTAACAGTGAAGATTTCCAGAGTTTACACAAAACGTAACAAAATAGCTTAGTGTTGGTGGAAAGTTTAAGAATCCAGCTATCTTATTTTTGTCATATAGATATTAAAGAGAATTATAAAAATTAAAACTATGGGCCGGAGATTTAGCTGAGCAGTTTCGTGGCCTGCCTTGCACGTGGAAGGACCCGAGTTCAATCCCGGTACCAAAAACAAACAAACAAACAAACAAAACAAAACAAAACAAAAACCTGTGGTATTCTTATCACTAATTTTTGTGTATAAATTACAGTTATTTTAATAAAATATGTACTTAGGATAATATTGTTTTAGGATAAATTAATGAACATTTAAAAATTTTTAAATTTTGTTATATGGTAGCAAGTATAACTTGTTAAACTTGGTATAAGTACGGTAAAAGGTATAAGGTGAAAGGTGTAAGTAAAAGGTAAAATATAACTCACGTAAATTCCTTGCGGTCCTCAATTTTTGAGAGTGTTAAAAAATCTTTAGAGCACAGCTGATTGATTTTTTTTTTTAAGCCTCTATGGGCAGATAATTGAGTATTCTGTAATTTTTCTCATATATTTATAATGACTTTATATACCATCTAGATAAACCTCCTTTTAATATGCTCTTCCCTTACTGGGTAAATTTTCAGTATCATACAAAATGTTTATTATGCTTGGCTTTCATCTTAGTACATTTATTTTATAACTAGGACACAAATAAGGTGAAAATTTATTGAAAAAATTTGAGTGATATATTTTATGAAATGTTCTCATCTACATGAAGATGAAAAAATTGTTTTTATTCCAATCTCTGGTTCTGAGGATTTGTACTTTGATTATTTGATGAACATACTGAGTGACACAGCATTTTCATAGCTGCTAGGCAGTCATTGAGGTATAATTATACATTGTGCTGTGTGGATTAGTTATAACTACAGGTCTGGATGATGGACCAAAGTCTTAAAGGAGCTAAATAAGGCTGTGGGCTATATAAATCCTATATGAGTACTTGGATCAGAAAATTTTGTAGGTTAAACTTAGTTGTCTACTTCTGGAAAACTGAGCTTTGTAGTCATTTCTTTTCAAACTTGAGTTTCCCCTTTTACATTATAGTAGTTTGGATCTCTTTTTATAGCACCATGTATATACAATAATCCTTTTGGGAAGATAAAAGTTCTATTCCTAGGTAATCAGCAGAAATGTGTGAAGAATCCATAAATAGGACAGCAGAGTCTAATTGAATGTATAGTGCTTTGGAGAATTCATCTCTGTGGGGGATCATTGGCCCGAAGTATGCATGAGATAAATATGCAGTAGTAAGGGACTTTTGCAGCTACAAGCCCAAAACCTGGAATGCAAGTTTAGAGATTACAAAGTAGCCTACCAGACCACAAGTCACAGTAGTATCAAAATGCATTGCCTTAAGGTGTGAATGCTCTGGCTTTTGTCCTCCCCATACTTCTTTACATTCAAATTAGTCTCAAAGTCAGTCCTTTTAACAGATCATCCTGACTGTCTCCTTCCCTGGCCTCTACATGAGTTCCTGCTCAATTGCCTTTTTCTTTGATTCTTACTTCCTGGTTCTATCAATAAAAGGCCACCAAGGCTTCATTTTGTGGCTGTCCCTACAGACTGACTCACACTGAAGGGTCCCGGTTAATGGCAGTCCCTATGGACACTCTTAGAGTATGAATTGGATATTGACTCCAAGTGATCTTTCATCCTTCCCTCTGTGCCACAGTCATGGACTGTGACACATCTTTTCGTCTAAAGGCATGAACATTAAAATGGAACAAACAAAACGTATTATTAAGCTAGATACTAGTTTGTAACCTGTGGTCTATGTCTGTGTCCATGGGCTAAGTTGAGAGACTTGACAGGGAAACCTGCCATTCATCGGGATGTGAAACTTGGGACTCAGGCTTCTTCCTTGCTTTGTTGCCTTCCATGATTGATTGGGTAGCTGCCCTGTAATAATAAACTGTGGCTTTTCTCCCTAGTTGCTACCTTGCTCAGTGTACTCTTTTTTGGGGGAAATGATAGGCAGAATATTTATGTTCCTGGTTTATTATTGATACCAGAAATAATACTGGAGATGAAATATGAAATATTGTACGTCCTAGCCAGTTAGATGTCTGATAACACTGAGCTTCTGTTCTCTAAAAATTGAAGAATGAATTCTAGGAACATCTAAGGTTAAGAGTAAGAAGATAATAATGATAGGGTAGCTCTTGAGAGGCAGGAGAGGACCCATGTGGATAGGTGCGGACTCCACTCTGTAGGGGAAATTTTTGGAGTAAAACTGATGTGGGTTCAGTGTGGTCCACAGTCATGATCAACCAAAAAGGTTACAGTGTAGTCACTTAGGTAATCGTGGTCTAATTGGGAAATAAGCTATGTAACAAGTGTGACTTCTATTAAATGGTGGGTCCCGAGGTCCTGGTAACCCACTGGGGTGGCTGATGTCTATCGAAACTTCACTAGGCCTAGTATTTGTTCTTTGAGGAGGTATACAGGTCTGGTTGTCTTGTTCTTATTTTGAGGCCTGGTCTCAGGCAGATGTGTCTGGCTGCAGTTGGGCGTGTTTCACCTTTGCCTTGACTCTCTGGAGGACCTAGCACTATGTGACTGCCTATAATACTTCTACTTAACTCAGTTGTCTATAACATTATGATAAGCACCTAGAGAATTAGAAAATTAGAAAGGTTTCTGAACAGTGTTTCAGAATTCAAGACTTTGCATAAATAGGTATTAGTGAGGTTTGTTTTTGAAAGTAGTCTTTCTTGATTATTTGTACATGGTTATCCTGTACATTCAGATTCTTGGAGTGTTATTGCGTTTTAAAATTAAACATTTGAAATTAAAATAGATCTCTTTTCAAGCATAACTTGTCTCAGTTTTGTATTCTCTTTAGCCTTTCTAAGAACTTTTTAGCCTGTGATTTAGCTCAGTGGTGCCACTGCCTGCCTCCCAAGTGCAAGGTCCTGAGTTTGATCCCCAGTAGCAAAAAAAAAAAAAAAAAAAAAAAAAAATTTAAAGACTTGTTTATCACATTGGATCTATATTTCCCCCCCAAGGCTTTTTTTTATGAAGACTTATTTATCTAGTGTAGCACTTTATGAGGAGTTTTTACTTTAATTTACTTTTTAAAGTTCATTTTTTACTCCTAGTATATGTATTTTTATTAATAGTATATGCAGTACATGATGTTTATGTTAATCATGGGGAGTACATGTACATAGCACATGTTAATTCTGTTTTCATTCGCTACTCATGCCATCCCTTCTGGCTTCTTCCTCCTCTTGGTTCCCTTCTCATTTGCAAAGCTCTATTTCCATTTTGATCCTCAGTTATTTTTTCTGTGTTCCTTCTGTCTTTCCCTCTCCCTCCCTCCTCCTTATTCCCCCTCCCACTTGAAAAATATATTCCTACTTCCTATTATCTATCTTTTATTTTGCTCTTTATTTTTATTCTTTTTGGGTTTCTCATATAAGGGAATCTATGTGATATTTAAACTTGTGTGTCTGATTTATTTCACTTAATAGTATGGTCTCAAGGTACATCCATTTATATATGAATGCCTCAAGTTTGTCTTTCTTTATGGTAGAGTAATACTTCATTGTATATAAGTACCACATTTCCTTTATCCATTCATCTGTGGATGTTCATATAGGCTGTTTCCAAGATTTATCTGTTAGGAATTGTGCTGCTATGAACATGGGTATGCATGTATAACTGTAATATTGTGACTTTAATTTTTTAGAAAGATACCTAGAAGGGCAATAGTTGGATCAAATGATATTTCTATTTTTAACTTTTTGAGGATCTTCATATTGATTTCCATAGTGGTTTGTACTAATTTACGTTCATAGCAATGATGTAGAAAGGTTCCTTTTTCTCCCCACAGCTTTACCAGGATTTGTTACTTTTTTTCTGATAGCCAGTCTTTCTGGAGAAAGATGATATTTCAGTGTAGTTTTAATTTGCATTTTTTTATTGGCCTTATACGGACTGTAAGAAGGGTTGAAAAAATAAATAT